ATTAATAATTTTTCGTTTCGTGTGTGATTATATTTATCTCCTCGAACGATAAAGGAAAATCAATGGATTTTTTTTTTCAGAAAATGACGATGCACGTTTACCATCGCTTTTGAATCAATCCAACTCGCAGTACTTGATTTGTAGAAGAACAAAGCACACAGAAGTAAACGAAGCCACGCCGATACTTGGATTTGGACTTCTCCAGGAGCCATGCGTTTTAGTGGCTTTGTTACATACCGGCGACATCGTCGCCCGTTCCGTTATCGATCTTTACTACTTTCCAAAAATCGAGCTCCCAGAATTTATAATTGACAAAAAGGAAAAAGTGAGCAATCTGTCTTTTTGTCATTGTCGATTAATTAATTATCGCTCTACGTAGATCGCATAAGTCAGGAAGAACATTCCGATACTGGTATTATATTATAATCTGATATAAGTTACAGATGAACAAGGAGACGTTCGACGTGTACATAAAAAGATTACTGAAACGTGAAACGTCACAACCTCTTATCAAAATGGGCTCGAAAACTGTCTCTCCGCGCGAATGCTTACAGGTACTTGATTATATGAATTAACGAATGACTAATTCGAGTGGAAATTAAGAAAATGATTTTCTCAATTTAGCTTCTATATCACGCGACGGATATCTTTCGCAAAGAACATTTCGTCAAACATGATACCGTGAGAGAAGAAATCGGGAAGAAGGTGCGCGCGTTGAAAGTTATAAAAACCCAGTTGTTAAAAGAGCTAGATACTTTATTAGAAACGAAGAAAGAATTGCATCAGACTGCTGAACGATTAGCCGAACGTTACGAAGATATTAAAGACGAGCAAGAAAAATTAGCGCAAAGGTGTGTGTCATAGAATTAATTTGTACTCAATATTTTTATGAAAATCAATTATAATTGCTAGATTAGATAATATATGTATTACAATGATTTATTGTGAAATATCGTGCATTTACAGGGCAAAAGAAGTATTACGTTTAGTGAATTACAAAGAACCTTCTATAACTCCAATTGAAAGAGCAGAAGCAGAAGAATTGAAGAAGATGGAGACAAAAATAAAAAAAATGAAAATCAGACTGCTAGAACTGAAGAAGAAATCGGAGCAAACTGAGTCTATAGAGAATAGTGAAAGTATTGAAAGAAAAAGAGAAATTGTTTTTAGAGGTGATCAAGAAAACGCCATCAAAAATAATCTTGGACAGATGTATGTATTGTTATCGCGTCATAAAAATTTATTATTATTGTTGTTGTTGTTGTTGTTGTTACTATTATGCACAGTAAAAAATCTGTTTCTTTTATTTCTTAGGGCAAAAGATATAAAAGAATTAATTACAGAAGTTAAAAAATTGGAAGAGGAAGTGAGTATATAAATTGAAATGACAAAATACTTTATTAAGTTTAGTTGTAAACTATTGTAAATTATTACTTTATCTTAATATATAGGATTTTCATATAATAAAAATTGATCTTATTTGCAAAATAATTTATTATATTAGCTATACATTTGTCCTATATTTAGTCACATTATTGGCATAAAGAATATTTCCAATAACTTCTCGCTTTGAACGTCTCTTTTAAATATTAATATAAAAGAATATGCATATATCAGTTGCAATGGAAATGATATCAATATTATATTGAAATATAAAATATTGTGAAAATGTTTCAACGTTTCAAGGAACAAAAAAATATCTTACATTTCATTTCATCAAGAAACAAAATAAATATTCTAAACTTCTAGTGCAATTGGTATTAAATAAAATTGAATAAATGAGCATTATTAAAACGTTTGAAAACATTCGAGCAATTTTTATGCAAATTTTTATAACAGAACAAACAATTTGTTACTTTTGTTCTGTAATTACTTATTTCTTTAACCATAAAGTATTGTTCAAGGCACAAAAATATAATGAGAAACATCATTGGAATCTTCCATAACCTTTGACTGTAGCAATTTAATTTCAAGTCTTAACTTTTCTTTTTCCATTTCTTGTTTTCGTATCTCATTTGAATAACAATTCATCTGTAATTTTAATTTATCTTTTTTAAGTTTTAACATTTCAGTTTCATGATACAGCTTTCCTTTTTCTGCACGAAGTACAGCTAGTTGTTCTTGAAGTAACTGATGACTGGCTTCGTCTGACAGTATCACCTCAGGGGTATCAACATTTCTTTTTACAGTTGTCGTCGACTTTGAACAATTTATTTCACTTTCAGGTCCACTGTCAGGCTCCGCCTCTGTATTTGTGGCCTTTTTCATGATCCAAATCCTAGAGTCTGCAGATTCATTGAATGTATTTGATGGTGATTTTGCAGTTTGTTGTGACTGAGGTGTAAGAGATCTAGTTTGCTGTTTAGGAGAAGTAGATGTTCCTTTTATTTTTTCCATATTAGCAGTAGGCGTGATAGTTTCAATGTCTAAAACTGACAAAACATTATACCACACATTCTTTTTTTCATAAATGAAAACATTATCGCAATTATTTGAAATTACCTCTGGTACTGGGAGATTGACTACCATCTACAGTGTGTGATAAATGATTGTTACAATAGGTATTAAATTCTCTCTCATCTACAAAAACAGAACCATCAGCGTTCACAATGGACTCGACAATTACAGATGGATCTCCATCTTGCATTACTAACTCTCCTACAATTTCACCATTCGCTGCTATAATATCCCCGTCATTATTTGTTCTCAATAGTTCACCTTCTGTTGTATCAATTTCATCTACCACTTCTTCTTGTGTTAATTGACCACTGTAAGAATCATCACCATCATTTCCTTCATCTACTTCCAATTCAGTTGGTAATCCCTGAAAAAATAATTTCTTTTTATTAAATATACTGTTGAATTTTGTATTGTAAGATTTAAGTATCTCACATCTTGCCCCCAAGGAGATTGTTCTTTTTTTATCCTTTTTATTGTTTGTGCAATTTCGTCTTCAGGTTCAGAATACATTTTTCTATCATTGTTTCTGCCTTGCATTTTCTCTATGTCGTGAATTTTTTTAAACAACTGATATGCTCTCTCGGGCGTTATATTCTTCTTTTGTTTATTAGCTGCTGCTATATTAAATAAATCTTTGGACCTAAGTATCTTGTTTGTTCGTAATCTTACATATTCTTTCAATCTTTTTCGATCAATATGTAATTGCATGAGATCTTGTACTTCCTGTTTAATTTCGCCACATAATTTCCTTTCTTGTGGAAGATTTTTGAACAGTTCCTAGTAAAAAATACAAATCAAATACAGTGGTATACAATTTATTATTTCATTATTATTATTTACCTCTGAAATTTCGTGATTATGTTCATTATTGACACTAGTTACCTCTAGCTTTGTACCATCTTTTGATGCTCTTAACATAATATGAGCAGGACAATTTGTTCTTATCGATCTAAGCAAAATAATAATATATGAAAATATGTTTGTTTATATTCATTTATATTAGAATAATTATTGCAACAGTCTAATTTGAATAATACATAATTTTATAAACTAACTGGGACTGTCTTCTGCCAGCTCCACGTGGTAAAAACTTCTGACCACCATAAATACATGCATATTTGACAGAATAATACTTTAAACGTTCGCTAATTGGACGAGCAGTTTTCATATGAGCTCCATTAACGGTTCTGCTGTCTCTTCTCCAATAGTGAACTAGACTACGCTTTGAAAATCTCTCCAACTTGTGTTCCAATGCTTCATAGCTATCAAACATTTCCCCCAAATGGAAAGATACATCCTCATCTTCTACAGTATTTATATCCATCATAAAAGTGACAATTAATGATCTATTTTGTAAATAAAAAAATAAACACATATATGTATATATATATGTGTGTGTGTGTGTGTGTATATATATATATATATATGATATAAATAAGCATGTGTCATTTATTATTTATTTAATTAAAAAACATCTAAAATATGCTAAAGGGTCATCAATATTCATAGATAATTTTACACGAAATAAATGTTGCAAAATTTGAATCTTAAGTGATCAATAAAGATGTATTAAATATAAAAATAAAAATAAACATAAAAATAAAATAAAGATTAGAATATGTTAGGGCAAATGAAATAACATTGAAATTGTTGTTTGCATTGTTATTTAATTCGACTTCTATTGACGAAGTAAATTTTTTGACAACAATACAATTTGAGTAAAAACATTGTTTTTCTCATTTGAAACTTTGAGGTTAGATTTAAATTTGATTGGCGTGGTAGAAGCCAAGACGATGAAACCGTGAACACAGCCAGATAGAATTACTCAAGAGCCGAACAAAGACGGGCGGGATTTTTTGTCTCCTACTAATTTTAAATCTTTATAGTGCGACTTACGTCCTGTCATATTTTTCGTAGCATTCCTTCTTTTTAACAATGCTCTATAATATCCGATTTTCACGAAAGCGTGCACCTTGATTTTGCGCCATTTCTGATACAAGACAAGTGACTGAACTACAGCGCAACTGTTGTAATTTTCATCTGCATTCGAATAATTTTTACATTTTACACGATGAAATCGAAGCCACAGAATAAACTAGCGACATAATTTTTCATCGGCATAATTTCGTCGATAATTTCTTCAATATCGAGGGATCAAAAGTTACGTAAATTATTATAAGATTTAATAACCTATTATTATTCTATACCCTATATAACCTACTACAACAGAATAATAAATCACCGATATATTTAAAATAATATTTATTAATATCAATATACAGGTTTTTTTAAAAAAATTCTAAGATATCCTTAAGTGCAATCAAATTTCTAATTTACATGAAATTTTTTATGTGTTTTCAAAGCAGAATTATAAACCAAAAAGAATACAATCGTTAATGTAGCCACTCATTATCATCCTCAGTGTCTATAGGAGGAATGGGTGGTGGTTCATTTTGTAAGATAGAAGACACCTATAAAAAAAAGTATTTTGAAATACATTCAAAATTGAAATGAAATGAACAAAAAGTAATTATTTAATTATTTTCTTGAAACCTGTACAAAGCCAGAAACTTTTGATTCCGTATTATCAGTTTTCGAAACTTCAGTTTCTATATTGTTAGATTTTAATTCAGTACCATCATTAGTCTCATCAGAATTATATAAAACTTGTAATGTAACATTCTAAAATTACATTTTCATTAAAAATTAGAAAGAATAAAAAAAAAGTATATAAATGTACATAAATTAATTTGTTCATATACTTACCTTTATTGTATCTGCTATTATTGTTCTTATATAATTCACAGAGTATTCATCTATAAATTTATCCAATAAAGCGTGATAAATTTTATTCATTATACATTTTATCTCCTTCTTTTTATTATCATTCTAAAAAATAATTATAAATATTAAAATACATAGAAAATTTAAAACAGCAAACATCAAATAAAGAGCTTACTTCATTTATTTTTTTAGAATTAGTAAGTTGTTCAGCACATCCTTCAGAAAGCTTAAGCATTTTATTTTCTAATACCATTGTCTTTTCCTTATATTTGTTATTAAGTTTCGTTGCTTCTTCTAAATCTTTTTTCACATTAGTGAATGCAATATTCGTATCTTTTAAAGATATTTCTAATTCTTTAATAGTTTTATGCAAATTTTCATTAGTCTGTATTAAAGATTCTTTTTGAGTTTCGAGATCTTTTATTTGTTCTATATAAAAAGTTAAGTTATTACACATATTGACATATCTTAACGCACAATTAATGAGAGTGTTCATTTTACCTTTTGATTGATTTAATTCTTTCTCCAATATGCTTATTCTTTCTTTCATTTCAATTAATTGTGTGAAATTATCAGTAGCTATATTAGATATATTCTGTGATTGACTATCCTTTTCTTCAGTTACATTAATGGATAACATTTTTAAAGTATTATCCAAAATCATTCTATTTTTTGTAGGAGATGTAGCATTTTGAAGTTCAAGAACATGAAACTGTATATGACACATAATAATATTTTGATAAATAGTATATAACTTCTTCAGCATATATATACCTTATCAAGCACTTTTTGCACATTATCAGCTATCTTAGACATTCCCATTCGTAGTTCTGCGTTTGTTATTCTAGTTTCAGACAGTAACATATTTAATCCTGGATCTATTATTGTTGGTAATGTTGAAGTTGTTGTTTGTGACTGTAATGATCTGATATCTGTATATATCTGACCACCCATAGTAACAAAATTTGGCTGCAATAAATCTGTACATTAATAACAAAAAATCAATCAGAGATAAATACATCTTTCAACATATCTAAATTTATATACTTGTGAAGGAGACCATTGAGGAGTAAACACAGATGATTTAACAAAAGATTTACAAGCAATATTTGTCACAGATTCATCACTTTGTAGTTTTAATACCTGATGTGAATTTTGTAACATTTCATCTCCAAATTCTGCTGGAAAATGTTCTTTTTGTAATTCTTCTTGAGATGATTCAATCTACAATAAAAAAGTACAATAAAAAAGTCATAAAGTTGAGATGATTCAATCTACAATAAAAAAGTCACAAATTAAATTGTAAACATATTATTTAAAATTATATTAAATATTAATTTACCTTTTTTTGATAAGATGATTTATGTGGCATATCATCCTATATATATTAAATATATTATTCATTAGTTTGATTCAACTAGATATATATATGTATATATATATGATTAGATCAGAAGAATTTGAGTTTACTTCAGTATCCTCAGAATCTGTAGTACTAGATGGGAGTTTTGGTAATATTGATTGTCCCATTTTTGCCATTCGTGATATAATGGAAGCTTTATCACTTGAAGTTTTATGCAAATGTGATAACTCGAATGTTTGTATATCTATTATTTCTACTTCTAATAAAATATCTTTTTCTTTCGGAAATCCTGGTCCTAGACTAATCTATAAAGTAATCACATTTAAAATACATGTACATTTATAATATATATACATAATGTTTATTAAATCTCATGCAGAACCTGTTTATTAGGAGGCACAAATAATATTCTTTTTGATCCTTTATTGCTTTCTAAAAGTGCCCTTTCCCAATTATCATCTGCAGATATTTCTACTGTCATTGTTTGATATGTGGGGATATTTTTAAGAGGTTGTATTATATCTGTTACAATCAAATATTTGATAGATATACTGTCTCCTTCTTTTACTGTTACATCTTTATTAACTGGTGATAAATCTTGATAAAGTACATTTTCTATTTTCCCATTTTTTGAAAAATATCGAGCTAAAGCTACTTCTCTTGCAAATTCTATACAAACATCATTATTTTCAAATAAAATTGACCAATTTTTCATATTACTATCATAATAATGTGAATAATTGTTTGGTTGTATTATATATGAAAAATCACGTGTCACTGTAGCAACTGATACATATTTTTCCTTACTTATATATAAAATAATTTGATATACTTTTGTTGCAAGATTTCTTGTAAGAGCTACACCAATCTTTTTTCCTTCAACTGTGACTGATATGTAAAAACCATTTTCACTGCAAATAACATTAGTAAAATTGTATTAATAATTATAATTATTTAATTACATACATGAAGAAAACAATTAAAATAAAAGATACAATATCAAAACTTACAATTTAAATGCATAAACTGCTTTAGCTATTATGACTTCTGTTTTGTTTGAAATTGTTTGAGTCAAAATATGAGATGTATTTAGATTTTTAGAAATTTGTTTTGTTGGAGAGTAACTCAGAGATGATCTTTTAGCTTCTGATCCAAAAATAGCTGCTAAATTTGCTCTAAAGCAAAAGATACATATTTATTTTAAACATTTCTTATATTTTGTAATTGTTAATTAATTAAATTAATATCAAAGATGGTAAATAGAGATAACTATTAGATATAAATATAAACTATTAGATATATTTTCATATTAATAAAAATTATACTTCATTATATTTTTTTAATAGTATATATGAATAAAATAATACACTACAAAAAATTTAGTAGTTTATGAAAACATACCCTGCCGCTGGCATAAGATCAGATTCATCATCGTCTCGTAAAATTTTATCAAGATTTGGTATTTTATTTGCTATATTCATGATTATAAATTATATTTATTAAACAAGCACTAAATTTTAGCACTAAAATAACAACGAAAAATATAAACTTAACACTTTGTAAACTACTTATAAACTACATGACTAATAAAATTATCAATAGATGGTGCAGTGTTAGTTTTATTTCGGAATAAATAGACTATAACTCGATAAGTAATATCACGATATTCCTATGCCAACATTACATTCGAGTTCGTTGATAAATATTAAGTGAATGAATAAACTATCAAAAATCTATATAGTACAAATATAATTTATTTTTGTATACAAATTTATATTACATAAATATTTATGTTCTGTTGAGTAGGCATTTATTTATAATAAAATGTTTAAAAAATTCAATAAAAATTAATTTTATTATATAATTTTCAAAACATTGTTAATGAGGAATACCTGAAATTTTTTTTTTAATCTACTTCAATATGATTTGAAATTTTGTAAGATATTAAGTCTATATTTTATCTCTGTTTAAACAGTAATATTTCACTAGGAAATTAAATGGTTCCATTTCCGAGGTAACCAAAAGTATGTTGATCTGTTTCTGATTTGTCATCAAGGCACACACACGGCAAAATAAAAGCTAAGAGTGAAGTCAGTTAAGAAAACTCATATTTAATTACTATGCTTTACATATGCAGTAGTTCATCCAAAATTGCAAAAGTAAAGTTAAATGATACATTAACAATGCCTTAACCTAACATATTATGATCATTAACACGTGTTCACAATTCTCGTGTTTTGTTCAATTCAAACTCATTGTTTATAATAATGTTTAAGATAATAAAGAATTATTTATAAAGAGAAATAATTTGTAATATTTTTTTTACAGTTGAAAGAGTTCGACGTAATCGAACGCAAGTTGTCAATAGAAAAAGAAACAATCACACCACTATACAAAATGAGGATATTTGCGCCCGATGTCATTGTTGCAAAGTCCAGATTTTGGCATTTTCTGCGTCAACTGAAAAAATTTAAGAAATGTATGAGATAAATTTCTTTGAAGCAAGTTATTGTTACGTGTATTACATGTCGATGTAAACTTCTGTCAAATAATTACGTACATATATTTAATCATATTGTCTTTCAGATACCAGAGAAATCGCCAGTAAAAATCAAGAACTTTTGACATTTGGCTAAGGTATGAGTCAAGATCTGGAACTCAATATGTACAGAGAGTACAGAGATCTCTCTGTCAATGATGCTTTGATGTAGAGACATAGGAGCATGCCATCGTGCCTGTGCTCACTCCATGATTAAAGTTGAGGCTGTAAAAGTGGAAAATTGCAGGAGATCTCAAGTCAAGCAATTTCATAATTCAAAAATAAGATTCCTATTACCAAAATGTGTTCGTAATGGGAATCGTATGCCAATTTTTCAGACCACGTCTTACTGTGATTTTTTATTTTCTTTGAATTGACTTATTTTCTTTGAATACTATGACTTAAGTAACTTGTACATTGACGCGAAATATATTTTTCTAAACAAAATGACATTTATTCTGATGTATTCTTCTCAATCATTTACTTCAGTTAATATGATTATTTTATGTAATCTTACACGCCGATATGTTCCTGTCTCAATTGCGATTTTCAGTCGATTTCAATTCTATCATCAAATATTGTCCGTTGTATAATTCGATTCATAACTCGTCTGTGTTTTTATATAAAATAATTTGATATGTTTTTATGATAAGATTTATTGTTAAAATGTTATTGTACTAAGATTTGTTGTAAAAGTTACACCAATCTTTTTTCCTTCAATTGTGATTGATGTATAAATATTCTTTTCGCTACAAATAATATTTATATTATTTAATTATATGCATGCAGAAAATAATTAAAATAAAAGATGCAATATCAAGACTTATAATTTAAATACATAAACTGCTTTAACTATCATTTTGTTTTGTTTGAAATCGTTTGAGTCAAAGTAAGAGTGGCATTTCGATTTTTAGAAATTGTCTTATCGGAGAGTAATGATCTTTTAATTTCGGATTCAAAAATAGCTGCTAAATTTGCTCCAAAACAAAAGATACATATTTATTTTAAACATTTCTTATATGTTGCAATTGTTAATTAAACAATGAAAAATAACTTCTATATTAATATGAATTATACTCCATCATATTTTAACAATATATGTGAATAAAATAATATATTATAAAAGAATCAATATTTCATGAAAACATATCCTGGCACAAGCTCAGATTTATCATCATCTCTTAAAATCTTATCATGATTCGTTATTTTATTTCCTATATTCATGATTACATTTATTGAACATGTATTAAATTTTAGCAAAAACGACAACGAAAAATATAAATTTAACACTTTGTTACTTATAAACTACATGACTAATAGAGTATGTATAAAAACAAATAAAAGTACATTTATAAAAATTTATATTTGCGTCTCTTGATAAAAAATATAAATTTATTATGTATATTTTATAAGGTAGAAATAAATATGTCATGGATTTACTCATATACTGTAATTTATTAGAAAGAACCAGTCTGACTAATAATTATATTTTATTACATAAAATTTCTGAACCTGCCACTTCCAATTTGTGCTAAAATTCTGATGAAAGTATTCATATTAATATAATATTTTATTCATATTAATATAAATATTTTATTCTGCATAAAAATAATGTTTACAAAAATTTTTGGTGACTTGAAAGTTCAAATACTAAAATTTTGCTTTTAAAACTAATACTTTTTACAAAATTTTGAATTTTAATTTCTGAGTTAATAAAAAATCCTTTCTATAAACACATCGTTTTTCATTGTAAAGAAATCTGTTTTCAAAATATCAGCCAGATCGAAGGATAGAAATTGTTGGAATTACAGTCTCAATGTTTCGATCAGAACATTGTTTTTATGTAAAAAGAAGATTTCTAAAATTCTAGGAAAAATTGGAGGTGATAAGTTACCAGAAAGAGATTTCTGCTATGCTGCTACATGCTGCTAGATTTATAAAATTATTTTAGTTCAAAAGTATAATGCACTCCTTGTCCTGGATATTGTTTTACTAACTGAAATAATACATTTATATGTTAATACTCAGCATAAAATTACGTTTTACGTTTATGTTAAAATATAATCTTACTAAAGATTGATTTGTATCAGGAGATAACCAACAAATTATTAAAAAAACTCCAGCAACGCTCCAACAGATAATAGTAGCCTTCAAATGGCCGATTCGTTGACGAACCCCATACTCTAAGCGATCTCCTAATAGATCTTGAAAGTTCAGAGGCAACTACAAATGGAATAACATGTAATAAATTAATAATGATAAATTATTATTTACAGTTATAATTTAATACTATTAAATATTTACAGCTTCTCCATAATTTGTTCTTGTTGCAGGGTGATCCCAAGGATAATAAGGATCTTTCGCTTCATAACTTATGATTGGCAAATCTGGATAATCTCCAATATAGTTTTTCACTGGATCAAAAGGTTTATATTCATCAGGATGTAAACCATAATATGCTGCGGCTGCATTCCATTCCTCTTTTGTTTTTGGATAAAGACCTGGTAGGTATTTTATTTGACTTGGTACTGTGGAATGCAAAAAATGTGAAAATATAATTGACGAATTGTTATTTTTTGAACAATTCTTACGTAAGCTTTTAACCTATCAAATTACGAAAAAAATCCTTTAGTAAAATTACTTACGAAAGTCATTTCTAAAGAATTCATGAGTATTTTCCGGAACAAGTTCTTCGTATTTATAAGTAGTAGTTCTAGTAAAATTAATAAATGATTCATTTTTTACAGATAATATTTTTGACAAATTTCTACAGTTTCTTAGCGCAGCCATTTTTATTGTACGATATACATATGTACATGTATGATTGAGGAATCGATATTACATACTATGTGTACTACATACTTAAAATAAATTTTTATTTAGTATCTGTCAATACAATAATAAGAATTTTAAATACTTCAATTCATTCCAATGAATAACAAATTTATGTTTTGATAAAATGATGAAAGAATAGGATCTAGGGATTTTCTTTGAATTTTCTCGATCTGAATATTCATAAACTTATCTATCGAAATCTAATCGAAGTACATATACAATATTTCACAGAATAATGATAAAAATAACATAGTTGAGAAACTTTTATAGATAATTATGAAAAATTAGCATACTAATATCCTAATTTATATACAGTTTCATTCTGTGCTTCGTGTTAGAACCAAATCTAACTAGTTAATGAAAGAATTTCTAATAGAAAGTAAATAAGTAAGTAGAATTGACAGAAACAATTAAATGATAGAATTTGAGACAAATAAAATAACAGAAATACATATAACCTTGGTGGTTCGTTACAAGGAATGAGGAAATAACGATATTTGGCAAGACAATTTATAACTTCAATAAAAATTTTCTGACACGTTACATTAAATTTATTAAAAGAAAAAAATATTTTAACTTTTATCAGATGTACTTTTATCAGATATATCATATTTGCAAATTATATAATAAATGCAAATTTTGTGGTATTTTTTTTTAAGTTGAAATACATACGTTAATAAATCGCCATGATTTTCGACGTATCGATGTATTATGGGTAATAATAGTAAGAAAATGGCCGATAAAATGTGTTGTTCGATTGTAGTAAGTTAGTGTTAATCTTAGTGTTAATTTATTCAATTTTTTTATTTTAAATAAATGAACTTGTGACTAAAGTGAAATTTATTTCTATGGCAAAACGAATTTGGCAATGGTATGTATGAACTCGAATATTCTCTATGTATAATAACTTTTATAACATAGAATCTTCAAGTTTGATTAAAAACGAAGATGAATTGTCAAGATTTCAAATAGACTATTCGAATATTTAAATGTATTATAATATAAATACGAAAAAGCACAATATTTACGCTAGCAAAGTTTTATAATATTAGTATAAATGTACATAAGAAAGCAGAAATTTTAAAGAACTCTTGTACATTAGGTTAGGTAACCAATATATATGTTTGAAAAATAAATTAACATTTATATTGCAAATTTGAAATCTGAACACGATGCAAAAATTTATAACATCACTTTTACAAAGCTTTCACTTGTTTGTTTTTTGCAATAAAACTAGAGAAATTTCTGATAAATTTTTATTTTTATTAATCATTAAATCTTTTCATATTAATATTTAACGAACGTTAGTACATAATACAATTATGAAATACATATTTTACTTAGAAAATAAATACTTAAAAAATATGCAAAACATACGAAACAAGTTTTCATTCGAGTCATATTTTATTATCAATTTTCTTGTAAAAATATGCAGTTTTTTTAATTTTTTCTGAACATATACGTTTTCTATATTTTATTATGTGTATGTCCTAAGAATGTTACCCAAGTAACATTCTATGAAATAACGCCCTGCTAGTAGGAACTAATTTTATTATAATTATAAATATATTCATTTTTATCCATTCCTCTATTTCACTCTTTGATCAGCCTCACGAATAAGTTCAACTAATTTGTTTGCGATTTTCTCGTTGCATGCCCCAATTGCACGTGGTTTCATGATGTTAATCTTTTCACCTGTAACATGTATCGTTTATTCACATTCTTTGTTTATTGTGTATTGTCTGGAGTATAAGTCAATACATAATTTCCTAATATGTATTGAATGCAAATAAAAAAACTATATAATAATTAACGAATGAAATTCATACGTAAAGTATTATGATATAGAAGCAAATTTCGAGAAAATTTGTCGATACGTAGCATAAAATAATGTAAGTAAAATCAGTTTTCGATTATCAA